ATGCTCCCAATACTTCTGTTAGTCTTAAAGGTGCCACAGGACCCTCTGTTGCTTTTTACAGATTCAGACTAACACGGCTACCCCTTTGACACTTGACATTCTATTATTCAGTTCCTGAATTGCAGGGGATATGGTGGGTTTCTTTCCTTCGCTCTGGTAATTTTCATCTCCCTCTTTCTGCACGGTGTTAAAGCCATCCCTGCCACCACTGGCTTGTATTTCCTGGCTTATACCAATATTCCTGAAAAGCACATTTTTTGCTTGAACCAATATTCCTGAAAAGCACATTTTTTGCTTGAAGAATACATCAGCTGGCACTAGTTTTCAGGGGGAGGATGTGTATCAGGCTTGCAAAGCATGTGTTATATTTCCCTCTTGTGGCTGGGCCTCTTCTTTGATAGCCTACTGCTGCTGCTGCCATTTAATAGAGTTACTCATCTAGCTGTGGAAGTCCATTCTACAGTATTATTTGGCCATAAGCTTTCGTGGGTAAAAACCTCACTTCTTCAGATGCAGGGCCTTGGGGGAGGGGATGGGGCATGCACCATCACCAGAATAGTGCACCGCACTACACACAACTGGTGTCAAATGCACAAAGTAAACATAATGGGGGGGGGGATGTCTAATTTGACTCTTGGGTACAGTGATCATAGGGGTTACAAGTTATAATAATAAGTGCAGCATTTTCAGATCTGAATGGGATTTTTCAAGTTGATTGTGTCCCTTCAATGCATCTGAAGAAGTGAGGTTTTTACCCACAAAAGCTTATGCCCAAATAAATCTGTTAGTCTTTAAGGTGCCACCAGACTCCTTGTTGTTTTTGTAGATACAGACTAACACGGCTACCCCCTGATACTTGACATTCTACAGTATTGACAATCCTAGGTTTAAACCCTGCTGATAACCCTTAAAGGAGGTAATTATAGATGTGCTTCCCAAGCCTCCTTCTAAGGCCTTTATTTCCACTCTGCAAATTACTCAGTGCTTCATGAAGGGCTCTCCTTAGAACTAAATTGGTTCTTCAGTTGCCTATCTGCCTGGTATAGTGAAATGATATGAAAGGTGACCCACTTCCCTAAGGACATTCATCCTGCTTGAATTTTAACTAGCAGTGGTAGGGCACAACGTCCACTTTGCTGGAGTTCCCAGTTGACATTATCAGCTCTGTGTTGCTGTGAGTCTGTTAAGCATACTAGTAATTGTATAGATAAACTGCAGAAGGGTTAATTAAAGCTCCCATCTATTCCACAGGAGCTTCTGTCCTTGCATTTTTAATTGTGTCCACACAGCTGAAGTTGCGGCAGTCCTTTGCGCTGTCCAGAAGATGATGATGTTCACATATGATGGAAAAGAAAGAGGGAGACCCAGACCAAACAAAAACCTAGATTTAATTTGCATTTTAATTTCCTTTAAAAAAAAAACTGCTAAGGGTTTTTCTGCCTCCCTGTTTAAGCGCAGGGGGATTTCTGGCCAGGCCTCAGAGTAAAAGCAAAACCACCCAAGGTGCTCAACTATTACTTGTTGCCTGTTCACTTTCAGTTTTAGCTCCGCTGCTGCTGCACATGTAAGCATCTTCTGACAGGGCCTGGGGGAGGGGATGGGGCAAAGTTGATCGTGTCCCTTCAAATGTCCTCTTTTAAAATGTTATTCTCAAATAAATGTGGAATAATGGACAGGCAAAGTCACCAGGAGGGAGGATGCTGAGAACTGCTGTGGTCCATTACTTCTAGATTTCTGGATTCCATTACCTCCTCAGTCAAGGAGACAGGAATTGAAGTCTCATGGGACGGCGTGAGCAAGGGACACTCCATATTAGATTCTTAAATGTATGTCCCGAGTAATGTAGTCTTTTGAATAACAGAAAGCCGCTGCTCCCCTTTCGCCTAAAAAATAAAGCTGCTGCTTCATCGAGCTCCCAGACTCAGTGTTATCCTTAGTGTTTACCAAAAAGATGATGTTGGGTTCCTAAAGGGCCTCTCTCGATGCTATTTGGAGTGGGGCTGACTTACAGCATTAACCTCAGGCAGCCCACAAAGTTTTGCTATTTCCATAAAGCCACGTTATAGATGAACAGACGAAGTCCTTTTAGCAGAGTTGCAAAGGGAAACTCAGGGAAAACTGAGCTGGAATTTGGAGAAAGGGAGAGAAGTTTTTTTCAAGAAGAAAACAGCACAAGGCGAACGATCCCAGCCTCATCTGGGTGCTCCAAAGAAAATAACCTCCCCCCGCTCCCGCCGCAGCCTGTGCCATTGCACCTCTACAACCTTTACCAAAGGGGAAAAAGTCCAGCACCATATCTGTAAAACTGCCAGTCCACGTGCAGAAACAGACTAGTGTCCTCAGCAGCCTAAAGTCCATGGTGTCATTTCATCTTCTCTCCCCTCCTCTCCACCTAATTTGACTAAGGAATCTAGCGTCTGATATTGTTTCAGCTTATATGATTCCTGTTGCTATAGTAAATACACAAGTTCAATTGCTTCTGGAGGCCTAGATTCAAATCTGCCAAAGGCAGCCATTTCAGTGAATTTGGTGCCATCAGTTATCTCTAAGGGATATTAGGCCATCTCAAGATGAGGACACCGTTGAGAGGACAGGAATAGCAAGAGTGTTATAGGATAGTTTTGGGATGCAAAGGACGAGCTGTGTGTGTCCCTTAGCTGGATGAGGAGGTGTGTTGGGGGTCAGCACTGGGCCAAATCAGGACTGCTTCCTGGGTCAGTCATTTTGTTCATGAAAATGTTCACAGATCCCGCAAATGTCATGAATTTAAGCATGGCTGATGCTTTCTCCAGGAATTCATGCCTGATACCTGTTACTCATTGTTCTCCTATTCAAAAAAAACGCAGTTATCCAATCAGAGAGCAGAAACAATGCCATGTGACTGAAACATCCTACACCTCAGATAGTCATTAGTCAAAGACAGAATTAAAGCAGCTAGTTCAGGAGCAGCCCCTGGGGCTGAAAGTTGCTCAGAGAAACGATTCTGTGAACTGGAGTAACGAATAGGTTAGTAGGAACCAGGAGCTGTTCAAGGGCATTCTGAAACCGAAATGGGGGCTACACTTGCAATTAAATATTATTAACAAGGAGTAATTCAACCAGTTCCTAATGTGAAGCCCACAACTCCCAAGCAACTAGGCCACCACCACAGTCAGATCCAGAACCACTTGTACTGAACAGATTCCGATGCCGACAGAAGCTGTTTGGAGAAAGTCACTTGTGAGCGGTCAGTGAGCAGTTTGGGGTGTGCCATTGAGAAAGGAGAATGAGTCAGCCGAGCTTCTCTTAGCAACACTTCCATTCTGCCTCCTGGGGCAGACCCTGCTCATGGTGAGGCTGCAGGGAGGGTTACTCAAGTTGCCCCGCGCCTGCTCCTCTTAGACTCCCTGTCTCTGATGGAAGGAAGTTCCCTGACCTGCAGAATCTTCACTCTTGCTACTTTGTGACACTTCTGCTTCCGGAGAACTTTCCTTGCAGGCGGGAAGCTCAGCAGCCAGCCAAGACGTTGAAGGTGGAGCGAGGCTATTTCCTCCTATTTGCATAATCCCGCCTTCTCGAGGCTTGGATTCACTCCCGGGCTTCATGGGTAGCGTCATCTCTCCTCAGCTCCTCCCCCGCCTAACTCCGATTGGCCCAGCGTCGCCCCGTTGCCCCCTCGGACCCGCCCCCTGCTATAAAGGGCGGTGACAGGCTCTGGAACGCGCGGACAGAGAGCAAGGCGGGGATTGGTGCGGTTGGTTTGTTACGTACCGGGCAGCGGCGGTCTCCCTTCTGGTGCACGGTCTCCCTGCGGGACCCCTCGTGCGAGACTCCGCCCCGGGGACACCTGCTGCGGAGAGCCGGCGCTGGAGCGATCTGCCCGGATCCTCGCGGGGGTGCAGCGGGTTCGAGCTCCCGGGATCGCTACCTCTCGGAGCCGCCGATCTCTTTCCACCCTCCCCCGGGAACATGAGTGACGGGGCGGGGAGCGAGCGGCAGTTGCTGCCCCGGCTCTGCCGCCTGGAGAAGGGGCCGAACGGCTACGGCTTCCACCTGCACGGGGAGAAGGGCAAGGTGGGCCAGTTCATCCGGCTGGTGGAGCCTGACTCCCCGGCCGAGACGTCGGGGCTGCGGGCCGGGGACCGGCTGGTGGAGGTGAACGGCGAGAACGTGGAGAAGGAGAGTCACCAGCAGGTGGTGAGCCGCATCCGAGCCGCCCTGGGCGCCGTGCGCCTGCTGGTGGTGGACCCGGAGACAGACGAGCAGCTGCGGAAGTTGGGCGTCCAGTGCCGGGAGGAGATGATCCATGGGCTGCCCGCCGCGGGCCAGGAGAAGCCGGAGGAGAAAAGTAACGAGGAGCCGCAGGAGGCACCGAGGGAGGAAGCACTGAGGGAGGAAGCACCGAGGGAGCAGGCGGAGATGCCAGACGGGGAGGAGAAGAGCCACCCTGCGGAGCGGGTAAATCTAGGTCATTCCCGGGGAGGGGAGGGCGAGCCCTTGGGGCTAATGGCGAACTGCGGGCTGGGAGAGAGCAGCGAGTAAGCCGCAGGTATTGGGGAGAAAGGAGTCGGGGAGATCGCGCTGGGCCAGGCCTTAGGCAGAAGGGGGAAGAGCTCCGACAGGTTTGGGACTAAGGGGGCCAGTTACAGTGCGGGGGGGAGAGGGGGCAGGGTCTGGGTGAGTGTAACTGACTTTGGTGGTCCTCCAAATACCCTATAGAGTTTCCATGCTGAGGATGGCTCAAAGCGCTGACACATTCAGACTCTCTGCTGATTGTTCTTGTGGTTGGGGATAACTCCATCCTCGCCTTTGATTATGAAATGTGAGGAAGTCCATTCGCTTCTGCTGTGTGCCAGCTGAATGTAGGGCTGGCACCTGCCTGCCATGGCAGGAGAGTCTGGCTGCTTTTTGTTGGGGGAGAGAACTTAGAAGCGGGGGGACTCTGGGTGGCTTGGTGGTGCCATCTGTGCACGCTCCAGGGCTTTCCATGTTAGATTCTAGCATCTCTATATCCCCATATCTGCCAGGCGCAGTCTCTGCTGTCCTGTGCTGGAAGGAGACCCAGGTACCATTCTGTGCTGTAGTGCGAAGAGCAGTGCGTACCTTAAAGGGGCAAATGTCTTCTGTTTTTAAAAGTTCCCTGACCTGTCTTACTGGTGATGAAAAACTTTTACAATTTCTATGGAGTTTGATTTTAATGCAGGATCCACTCTAGACTGTTGCATTTCTCTCAGCTTTGATAAGCTAAAATAAAATTGACCAGTTTATCCTTGCTAGTCAATGTCACTTTCTGGTTCTCTCTCTTGCACTAACAAAATGAAGCAATAGTTGGGTTGCAAATGCTGCAGGGAAATGACTGGGGTGTGCGGAGGTGAGATAATACTAACATGCATGTTGCCATGAAAATAAATTCTGTGGTTGGTTGGTTTGTTTAAAAAAAAAAACTCCCAAACTTTTATTTTAGCCCAAACTTTAACTCGAGTGCCCCTTTTAAAGAGACGCCATCAACTTGAAATCTAGCCTGTTAAATAATACTAATAATCTCAAGTACTACATCTGCCCATAAAGCTATCTTTGTGTAGTTTTTACAATCCTGTTTTCCAATTTTTTGTTAAAAGCACCTCCTCCTGTTGGGAAAGCAGAGGTAGACATGTAAATAAAGGGCAAATGAGGGAGAAAGAAGTGAGGGAGGCAGAGGAATCCAGGCCAGATATCTTCCTCTAGTTTCTTTAGGTTTAAACTCCTCCCTACATCCAAAAGTTTTAGGAATTCTCCTGTAGCCATATGAAAGAGTGACAGAAACAGAAGAAACTGATTTATATGAGGGAACCAGTGATACCGACTATTCAAAGTTGTTGATGGAAATATTCTGAAGCACCTACGAGCTCCAGTCAAGGACCAGGACCCCATTGTGTACAAATGCACAAAGTAAACAAACCGGAAAAATGTAGAAACTTTCTCTACCCACAATTAATACTTTTAAATGTTACTTATTTTACCTGTGATGGTACTTTTCACAGAAGAGTGTCATTTGTTTGTCTCTTTTAAGCATTGCGTGCTCATTAGTAACCCCCAGGCCTCCATCTTGCCATGTTGCTGTAGTTCAAAAGAATCCACTTTCTTTTCAAGTGTTGCAATGAGGATGGTATAGTTACTCTTAAAGGTACGGATGTGGGTCATGGTTGAACCACATGGGGGAGGGATATTGCCTTCTCAGTGCTTATGGGACTAAAGTTCCACTATTTGCATGTATCAATATAAGATTGAATGCTTCTCCCTCTCATTTATATTGTGTAGCTCCTAGTTGGTGAGGAGGGAAGAGAGATGAGGGCCTCTGTCAGGATGAGATGGGTCTCAGAGTAAGTGTCTAGGGCCCTTTAACTTTGGGGCACGTGTGTAGCTGAGGCCTGAGGATCTAGTTCTTAAATCTCTGTGGACTTCATGCCTGCCTGCTGCACTCCTCAGAAAGAACCAGTGGCTGGTGGTTAGTTAGGAGATGGTGGAAAAATGGTAGAACTGTGTTGTCCTCCCAGTTCTTCTCTGCTGTGATGCACGTTTTTAAAGAAATGAAACCAAACACCACAACTCCCAAAAAACCTCGACAATGGTCAGGCTGCTGGTGTGCTGTGACCACAGTTTTTCATACTGACCAGTATCTTCTCGTTTCTTTATGCTGCTCCATCTGACTAAAGGCTTAGACTGTAAACTCTTTGGGGCAGGGGCTGTCTCTGTTTTTGCAGTGCCTAGAACGATGGGAGCCAGACCTCTAGGTGCTTCCATCATAGAAACAATAAAAACTGAATAAAAAGGGAGGGGAATTTTGATCCATGCTGACTGCAAGTCTTGAAATATGGAAACTTATCAATTCAGAAATGTCTGTCTTGGACAATATTTTAGTAGAAATACAGATGGAAACACAGTAGAGAGAAGATGTGGAGGGGAAGAGACTCTGGAACTGAAAATAATTGCCCATTACCTACTTGGAGTAGCTTCTAATGGATGCCCTGGCTTCATGACCTAATGAATATTTATTTACATAATGGAAAATATGTACATTGTTGCAAATGTAACACCGACAGACCCTGGTCGTCAGCAGGTGGGATGGAACTGGGGTCCTCTACAACATGAGCTAAAAGCCAACTGGCTGTTAGCTAACGCTGTAGAGAAGATGGTTTTGTTTCTCTTTCTCTCCCCCGCCCAGAAGAAGTGTGGGTTACACAAATACTGTATGTTTTCACCAGTCTGTGGTGGACCTCCTCAACAGATCCTATTAAATAATAAAGCTGGGTTATCTTCCCTGGGGATGAAGAAATAAACATCTAAGAAATAACTCTTGGAAGAAACAGTGTCCCTCTTTCTGGTCAGGATAAATTTACCTGGTATAAAATCCTATAGCTGACATGGCAGGTGCATTGCTCACTGGCATTCAAGGGTGTGAGGAGAGACATCTGGTTCATTGACACTTGGGAGATGGCTGGCTCCACCACTCTCACAGGCTGAAGAAGAGAGCTGAGAGGGATTAATTATCAAACACTTGCGGATATAAATAGGATGAAATGGCTCATCAAAGTGAAGGGTTGAACTATCGCTATATAACCATATTGGTCAGATGTGGTCTCAAATAAACTCCACTCAACTTCTGTGAGTTGAAGGCTTTCAGCACCTGTAAAGGTCAGGCCTCTAACACTATTTTGAGAGCTCTAGAGCATTTAGAGGTTCAAAGTATGGTCTACAGGGGGGTCACCTGTCAGAGGTTTTCTTAATACTAGAAGACAACCAGTGGGGGCCTAGAGAGAGGTTCTGGGAGCTTTAGACTTGGACTCTGTGGAGGGAGGTCCTAATTACAGGATACAACAGCTGGTGTGAGAGGAGGAGCAGGGCGTTCTTAAGGAGATGATAATTGGAGACAGTGGTAGGAGGGAGTGGATGGACTTTGGTGCCTTTGCTGAGCTAACATTCTTGCTGTTAACTGCTGAAGAATGATAGTTCTACTAATTGTTCCTCATATTGGACTTTAGCCTGGAGCCAGAACACATGTTCCCCTTTGGCCATTTGCCCCACTGTGTCAAATGTCCTTTGCACAAACGGATGGAAAATTTCAGGCCTTTTGGCCCAGACAGCTCTTGCTCAGATTTGTTGATAGCAAGGTTCTGTACTACTGGATATCCCACAAATGGGATTCTTACAGGGCTCAAGTGGCTTTTGCCAGTCCCTCTGAGGGGAGCGAGAATCACTTCCCCTCAGACTGGGCAGGGGGTAAAAGTTTTTGTTCATCTTACCTCATTAAAATGAGAGGAATCTTCTCTTGATGTCACTTATAAATGGAGATATCCCATCTCCTAGAACTGGGAGGGACCTTGAAAGGTCATCGAGTCCAGCCCCCTGCCTTCACTAGCAGGACCAAGTACTGATTTTTGCCCCAGATCCCCAAGTGGCCCCCCTCAAGGATTGAACTCACAACCCTGGGTTTAGCAGGCCAATGCTCAAACCACTGAGCTATCCTTGCCTCCTTCCCTCTCCACTTGGGAGAGGAAGAAAGAAGAAACTGATGTAGTTTGCCTTTCTTTTCTGTAGGGGGCAGAAATCTGTCATTCCCTACCACTGATCTTTAATATGTTGCAACCATATCAGGTGAGTGTCCTGACAACAAGATGTTTACATCGTGGCAAGGTGCCCAGGGCCTTAGACAGCTCTGAGTCCTGTTTGCTTTGGGACAAACATATTGTACTCTCCTTAATGCAGGCACAACTCAGGCTTTAGATCCAAGACAGTTAAAGCCACACGTCAGAATGAATTATGATGGGAGGAATGAAAAACTGCCTGCACTGCCAGATTCCATCAGCAGGTGTTTTGCCAAATTATGCCAACTGGAGTTAGTTAAAATAGGAACTTATCAGGGCGGAGCAGAGACTCTTTGATGTGGGGGTGTATTGTCCTTGTTCTCTACCATACCCTTGAACATGTTGGGTGGCGGAGCAGGTACAAGGCCAGGTTCTGATAGTAATTACTCGACTGTAATGCCTCAATGTCCCATGTGCAGGGTAAGAAGAGCTCCGTTGCCCCTGTGCTTTAAACAAGGGTCCCTGTGGGGAGTACAGTAGTTGCCTCTCTAGCAATATTTAAATCCTCTTCTCTTTGATGCTTAAGGGCCGTTCTCTGGCTGTCTCTGGTTTCGTACAATCATTTACAGAAAGTGTCTCTTATTTCCCTATCTTTCTCAAAGTACCCTGTTGAAGAAAATCTGGGGGCATGGCTCTTCCGTCGAGTGAATCCCATTCAACTTGAGTGTGCGATTACTTTGTGTCTGTCCGTTCCAAAGCCAGCTCGGCCTGTGGTGGTGGTGTCTGCTAATCCCTACCTCTGGAAGGGCCTAGTTTCCCTGCAGAGTGACCAAAGCTGGTAGGTCCCCCCGATGCTTGTTTCAGGATGGGGGCGTCCACTTGGCTCCTTATCCGTCA